GATATATATATATATATATATATATATATATATATATATATATACACACACACACACACACACACACACACACACACACACAATGGAAAACTATCCAGTGCATTAAAAGAGAATAAAATCATGGCATTTACAGGTAAATGGATGGAGTTGGAGAATATAATGCTAAGTGAAGTTAGCCAATCCCAAAACTCCAAATGCCGAATGTTTTGTCTGATATAAAGAGGCTGACTCATAGTGGGGTTGCAGGGGAGGAGCATGATGGATTAGATGAACTCTAGATAGAGCAAGGGGAGGGAGGGGAAGGGAGGGAGCATGGGGTAGGAAAGATGGTGGAATGAGGTGGAAATTATTACCCTAAGTACATGTATGAAGACACGAATGGTATGACTCTACTTTGTGTATAAGCAGATATGAAAATTTGTGCTCTATAGGTGTAATATGAATTGTAATGCATTCTGCTGTCATACATAACAAATTAGAATAAAAAAAGAAAAAACCAAAATATTGAATTTTTCAGCCCATAAACATGATATATCTTGAAAAGAGCCACTTAAAAAAAAAAAAAAAAACAAGTGTTCAGAGATATTTTTTGTTATCTGGGTAACACTGTTGACAATTTAAAACTTCTTGCTTTCTGGTTAAAGAAAAATGCCAACTGTATCTCACCAACTACAATGAGTTGAACCTGAGATTCATCACTGGTCATCAGCAACAAACTTATATTGCTCCACTGAAGATTTTACTATGAAACCAATTGATGAGAGTCTGACAACAGCTAGACACATGTGAAATCCACATTGTAGGTCAGATGTATGTGTTCATTCTCATGTCCTATCTTCTCATAATATCCCCTGCCTTTCCCAGTCCATGTTGCAGGAGTTGAATAAACCCAAAATAGATTGAAGGTTGCCAGCAGAAGGCAGAGGATCAGTGGAATGTAAATATTAATGCATTGGGCATTTTCTGGGGAAGTGATGAAATGTTTTTCTAGAATTAGATAGTTACAATGGTTGTACAACTCTGGATATGCTAAAAATCATGAGCAAAACACATTAGAAGAATGCTCGCCATGAATTTATATGAATTTATCTCACTAACATTATTTTTAAAGCTATTCCTGATATTCTAGTAAATGCTWCACAATAAACAAGTTTATGACAATGAATTTCAGTAAGCAAATTAATACATTCAATGTGGTAGATTATTTTTGTAGCCATGGAATAACTGTTTCTTAAAGTTACACGTTCCCACAGATCTCATACATACTCTTGTTGTCTGACTTGAGTGGGTCTCAGGACTCCAGTTTCCTGACATGGGAGCTCACCAATTAGTACTCATGACACTTGACTTCATAGGGAACCAAGGCAAAAGACAGGCTCAGAGGAGAGGTAAAGAAGGAAGGAAGGTAAGTAAACATCATACAAACTCACAGTTCCATTGTCATAATCTAGAAACACCCTAACCCTACCCAGAGGCCTTTGCATATATTGAATTAGGGTTGGGGGGGGGTTGGTAGAGAGACTGTAATGCCTGTTCCTCTTCAAACAAAATATGAGAAATGCCCATCAAAATCAATACTTTAATCAATATTGATTGTTCTGGAATATTTAAAATCACCCAGAATTCAGTTGGAAGAGCTCAGCACCTCTACCTGAGGTGAAGGCCTGGGTCCTCCTTGCAGCATAACTCTCTATTCTCTGGGTATCTCCAGATACACCATACTGGTCATCCCCAAATGTCACACCTCTGACATCCTTAATACAGTTTTGTAGTGTCAGCCACTTCCTATTTCACAGTACTATTAACTGCAGAAAGACAAAACTCCAATTAGCAAATGGTACTATGTAACCTTGTTGTTAGAGGCAGAGGATCTATGTTCAATTATTTCTTTATTTGTCTCTCATCCTCACTAACAAGAGCAGAGTTCAGCCTCACTCAGGTGTGAAGTGGGTTTATTATGACCTCTGTAGGACTCAGAGCTCCTTCCCATCATGGAAAGAGAAAAAAAAAGAGAGAAAGAGAGAGAGTGAGAGAGAAAGAAAAGGAAGGAAGGAAGGAAGGAAGGAAGGAAAGTAGGTCAATTCATATGGCTGTGTGGAGCAGCAATTTATTTTTGTTTACCTCTAGATAATTTGTTTCATAAAATATGAAATCCTTACTTTTGAAGAAAACTGTAATTCTGTTTTTTCTTTAATATTGTTAAAAATATTCATCACTTTGCTATGATGCAGGTATTCATTATGATATCAGCTGTGACTGTTACATTTCCAAACAACAAAAATTACATGACACACAATATATGCACATTTCAGCAGTTTCTGAAAAAAATATTCTTGCTTTGCCTTATCTGCTGAGACCCTGGTTCTAACCTTACCTGGGTTTCAGTCTTCTGMTGTGTATAGACCTGTTTTCTAGTATGGGATTAACACAATTTTGACATGTTGACAGATCACTTAACTTTCATCTGTTTAGAAATCTATCTGGTAGGATTGGAATTATTCCACTTGTGACAATTTTATCTTTTTTTGTTTGTTTTTGCCTAACAATCATTTTTGTCAAAACTTTCTGATTTATGAATAATAAATTTTTTGTAGAATTCATGATAAATGAAACTAGAATATAGGACAAATTAAAAACCACTATTCCATATTCAAAATGCCAAAATTAAACTAAATAAACACAAACGTTTGATTGGTACTCTGAGAAGTAAGCATTGTATCATTTCATACTCACTTAAGCTAAAAATTCTGTTTTTTTTGTTTGTTTTTTTACTGTGGCTGTGTTCAGATATAACTAAAGTGTGGTCTGAATTTTGCATTTGCAATCTGTAAGTTAAAAGGTCAATTTTGGTCATTGTAATGTGATTATGCAAGGAAGGATGGTACAAACATTCTAGAAAATCATATATAAATTTTATGTCAAAAATTTTAAAATTGAAAATGGGTATTCCTCATTTCAGAAGCCACTGAAGAAAGAAATTGAGGCCTGACTGCCAGACAACTGTTTCTTACCTCTGAAGCTATTCAGTATGTCCAGGATTCCAGTGGTGTTCCCTGATGTGAGCTTTTGGTTCTTTTGCTGAGCCATTCTCATCTGCAACAACTTAGTCCTGTAAAAATGACAAAATTTTTCCATTTGGGGTTAATTTAATCTCTTTGCTCATGTGTTTTCAACCCATTGTGCATTCAGTAGCATATTATTAATCTCCAGGTGTTGGAGTAAATTTTATTTCTTATTTTACGATTGATTTATAATTTCATTGCGTTATGATCTAATAGAAGGCAAGGTAGTATCTCCACTTTTTTATATTTGCTAAGAGTTGCTTTGTAGCATAATATATGGTCTATTTTAGAGAAGGACCCATGTTCTGCTGAGAAGCAAGTGTTCTCACGTGTTGAATGATGAAATATTCTACATATGTCCTCAGTTAAGTCTAAGTTATTGATTATTATATTATTGAGTTCTAGTTTCTTTGTTCAGCTTTTATCTGGAAGATCTATCTAGTGATGAAAGAGGTGTGTTAAAGTCACCCCAAATTATTGTTGTGGTCTATTTGACTCTTGAACTTGAGAAGATTTTATTTGTTGAACATAGATGCTCCATTGTTTGTGGCACATATATTTATAATTGTCAAGTTTGTTAGTGTATGGTTCCTTTAAGAAGTATGTAGTGTTCTTCTTTATTCCTTTTGATTAACTTTAGCTTGGAGTATACTCTATTTGATATGACAGTGGAAACCCCTGCTTGCTGATGCAGTTCATGTGAGTGATATGCTTTTTCCCAACCCTTCACCTTCGTCTGTGGATGTCTTTTCCTGTGAGATGAGACTCTTGGAGATAGCATATTGTTGAGTCTTTTTTATGTGCAATCTGCTACCCTATGTCTTTTTATTTTTTTAAAAAAATTTTTTATATTTATTTATTTTAATTTATTCATTTATTTTTTTATTGGTTGCTCAAAACATTGCAATGATCTTGACATATAGTCTACGTCTTTTTATTGGTGAGTTTAGGCCATTAACATTCAGTTATTATTGAGACATGATTTGCATTTCTAGCTATTTTTATTTATTTTTGGTATTTAACAGACTTGGTTTCTTTTCTGACTATAGATTTTCCTTTAGTGTGATACCACCCTCTGCTGATTTTCACCATTGTTTTTCATTCGCTCTTCTTGGAATATTTTGTTTAGGATGCTCTCTATTTTATTCTTTCTAATTGTAAATTCTTTTAACTTTTGCTTATCATGGAAGGRTTTTATTTCATCATCAAATCTAAAGCTTAGTTTTGCTGGTGTGGGAAGTCTGGGCTAGGCCTGGGCTCCCATGGTAGATGGGGTATTGAATTATTTGAAGCAACTGAAAACTAACCTCAAATCATATTGTGGTGGTTTTATAACACTTTATTAAAATAAAATTTAATAAACAAATTTACAAGTTCAATGTGGTTATCAGAATTTATGACCATAAAATGTTTATACTTCCTTAAGTTAAAACAAGCCCACAGATATCATGTGTAGAATGGTAATATGACATGAGGTAGTCCCAAGAACACAGTTTCTTCAGATATGGACATTCACCAATTAATTCTTATTTTCTTTGAAAAATTTCATTTTTTTCTTTTTTCAGTATTATGGAATGAACCCAGAGCCTCACACATACTAGACAAGGACTCTACTACAAGGCTACACACCCCTCCCTCATTTTAACTCTCTTTAAAATGACCAGTCTGCCCTCAAAACTTGTGTTCCTCCTGTCTCAACTTCCTGTGTAGCTAGTATTATAGACAAGTGACACCATGCCCAGGAAAACCTAAATTTTATGGAGAATCAAGGAAAAGAAAAGGATTCAGAGGTGAGGTCAAGAAGGGAAGAGAGAAACTGCATATGAGGGAACATCGGTGAACATCATAGAAGCTCATAATTTCATTGTCATAATCTAGAAATACCCCAACCCGACCCTCAGGTCTTTGTACATACTGAGTTAAGGGTGGGGAGTTGGTGGAGAGCCTACAGTGGTTGTTCTTCTTTAAGGAAAATAGGAAAAATGCTTTCTCAGAATCAAAAGTGTCACTTATCATAAAATCTTTACAGACGCCGAGAATCCAGTTGGAGGTGTTCCCCACATCCACCTCCCAGTAGTGTCTACCAGAGGTAAATCCCTCAGCACTCCATATAACGTAACTCTCAACTGTCTGGGGATCTTTAGTTCCACCATCATCTCCAAATATATTATTTCTATCTTCATGAGAAAGGCTCATATAGCAATTGGCCCATCCTTGAATAGTTCCATTGTTCACTGCACAAAAACAAAACAAAACAAAACAAAAATCATATCAGTAAATAGCATTTGCATGTCTTCGACAAAAACTGTCTACCTAATCAATCTCTTTATTTGCCCCTCTTCTAAGGAACAGTAGGGAGCAGAGAGACTTCAAACTCATGTATGGAGAAAGTTTCCTATGCCCTCTTTAGCACCCAGAAATCTTTAAATTATAATGCTAAATAAAAGAAAACAGAAGGTACTCCTTGTTGAGTGAAGGGATAATGTAATATCAGCTTTTGGATGGATTGTTTCAGGTCACACACACAAAAAGTCTTTTTTCTTTTCTTTTCTTTTTTTTTTTTTAGTAGAAATCTCTTCTTGAATTGTTTTTGTTACCATTGATAAATAGACACTACTTTGCTATGATTGTGCCTGTTTCATTATCAAACACCAAATAATTTGACAGAAAGCAACATCTGCACACTTGACAGAAAAGAACCTTGGACTTACATGATCTGTTGAGACCATGAATCCAATCTAACTTGGGTTTCAGCCTTCTGATATCTAGACCTCCTCTCTAGTGATGCACAAACATGGCTAGGTCATGTTTACAGATCACTTACCTTTCAGTTCTTTTGAAATCCATCTGATGGTATTAAATTATTCTATTTATGGGAAATTTAGTCTTTTTTTGTTCAATAAAACTTGTATTTTATAAATAGTAATTATTATTTGCCCATTGCATATCATAAATGTACTTGGAATATAGAATAGATTAAAAGCAACCAATATCACATTTAAATCTTCAAAATTAGAATAAACTGAAAAAACACAAAATATTGATGTCTGCTCTGAGAGGTAAACATTGTATTGCTTAATAACTCTCCAAACACCAATAATGTTCCTTTTCTTGTACTGTCTGTATTAGAACTAGAATATGTGTCTGAGCTATAAGTTAACAAGTGTGGTCTTGGTCATTGTATTATGACTATACAAGAAAAAAATATTAACTTTTCACATCAGAATATTAAAATGGGAAGCCTTTTATTTGAGGAACCTACTAAGAAATTTGAACCTGAGTGCCAAAGGCTCACACTTACCTCGGAACTTGTTCAGCATATCCAAGATTCCAGTGATGTGTAATGAAGAGAGCTCTGGGTTCACTGGCTTGGGCTTCTCCATCTCCAGCAACTCAATTCTGGRAAGAATGATACCAGTTACACTTTCAAAACAAAGGTCAAACAAAAAATCATTAAAGATACCACTTTTAATCCAAGATGTTGTTAAAATTACCCATGTTGGTGAATTAGGTGTACATTTTATTCAACTCTCTTGGGATTGTATGATACTTTTTTCTAAATTTAATATACTAAAATTCAGTCTCCTTATTCATCTCAAACATTATCCAACTTAAAAAACACTGAGTTTCATTCCTGATTCAACCTTGGAAAATGCAAAGATCTTGGATACCTTGGAGAAAGCAGACTCTTCAACTTTTGGACTTTGGTCCACAGAGGTCAACAATGATATAGTCATTGGTTTCTAAAGGGGAAGGTTCYTTGAACCAGTGACTTTGATCATCTCTGCCCATGGAGGGTATCTAGTACAGCCTGGAAGCACTGATCTTGAGGGTTCTCAGGCAGCCCTTCCYCTCTGAACATGTGCTGTGTGCCATGATGAAACAGGATCTGGTCATTGTTACTGATGGTAATGAAGCCCCCACTCTTTACCATTCTATCTTGTTTACCTTCTACCTCACTAGAATTGAATCCTTTCTTGGATTTGTTATGAAAATCTCCTTAGTAAGGTTTATATGGACTGGGCTGGAGAGGATAGAAGGAATGGGTGAAACAAAGCCTAGAAAACCAAACCATTCTTAGGTATGGTTGAATTCAATCACATAAGGACATTTTTGAAACCAAGGTACATATTACCTCAGAGCCTCTTTACAAAAATAATATCCACAGACAAAGATGTTAATATCTGAAAACATAAAATTTCTCTTCTTCAAGAAAAAAAAAACTTTCTCATAAACCAGAGATTATTACTTAAAACTCACCTTTCAAATATGTCCCCTAAGTCCTAAAAGGAAAAAAGAGATAGTATTAATAATGTGTCCTTCTGTATCCTCTCTGGTACTGTGGTATTTTGCTGTGTGTGTGTGTGTGTGTGTGTGTGTAAATTTTTTTTCTCATTTTCCTCTGAAAAGTCACCAGAGTTTATGGTAATACCAAAGCCCACATCAAACATGGAAGACAGACTTGGTGAAGGATGGAGCTTAGAAAGGGTCTGTGCAGTGATACAACAGGACCTAGATTCCTGTGTCACTCATCTCCCAGTCTTAGTCCCAGGAGAGATCTGACCCCTCTGACAGTTACAAGTAACAGTGAGTTATTTGAAAAATAGTGCACTGAAATTGATCAACAACTTCTACACATCTTGCCTACTAGAGGGGAAAAGCCTCATCTGCTTTTGTGCAGAACAGAGGGTGATGGAGTTGGGAAACATAAACTGAATATTTCCTCAACAAAATTAACTTTCCTCTGATTACTGAGTTTTTTATAGTCATCTTAGTGACACAAGATTTTGTCTCATTTACCTTCTGCAAGACTAACAATCTCTCAAGATTACCAGAATATAGGGAAACAAGTGATTGGACAATGATGGGTGTAAAGGAGCTCCTATCACTCAGCTGAGCACAGTGGGCTCTGCAGGCAACATTTCCCAGACAAGAATTCCTCTCTCTAAGGATGGACCCTCCCTGGTCACCTGGAGCAACTCCATGTCAGGCTTATGGCACATGTCAGTCAGCTCCCTGTACATTTCCTTCAGCCTTTCCCTGTGTTGGGCCATTCTGATTTCACTGTCTCTGAGTTGTTGAAAAATCTCCTGTGCTTCTCTTTCTAGTGTCTCCAGTTGAAATCGCTCCTCCTCCACGTGAAACTTATGCATCATGTGATATTGAACTTGGATCATGTTCTTCCTTAAGACTACRTAGTCCTGTAGAGATATTCATTTAAAAAGATTACATTCAAAAACWTTTTTAAAGCTTCAAATATTATTGTCTTAGCATCAAGCAAATATTTCAAATACTTTTTGTCTCATGCTYACACAGTGTCTTAAATATTTACTAATCGTGTCTACCATTTTTTCTCTATTTCTTGCCTCTCTCCTGTTTAAGAAAAATGTCTGAGGAGTCCCAGGCTATCTCCCTATGATGTCTTTTCAGAGTTCTTAATGCATTGTTTCCTCTTTTATCTGAATCTTCCTCCTTTTCTTTTTTTCCTTTGTCTGATTCTTCTAAATATTTTTCAATATTTATATACACACTGTATGAAACGTTAAATAAAAAGAACCTCCGCATTCCCCTTAGTTAAAAATCTATATCTCTCCTCTCCTTCCAACTAACTAGTGCAATACTGTCTTATCTTCAGTGTCTGGGAAGATTTATCCAAACTTCCAAAGTTGGACAAAGAATACCAGTCATGCCTCATTCACGCCCATATACTTGTATTCTTCACATTAGCTTGTGTTGGCCAGTGTATTCATACTATTACCAGAAATCACTGCTTTTTTTTTTGAGATGAAAACACTATCCTTCAATATCAACTCAAATTTATTTGACAGCAACATTTTAATTAGCATAATGAATTAGCAACATTTTAATTAGAATAATGAAAACATTTTCAAACTTACCACAAAAGACTGACATTTGTTAATTTCTTCATTTAGATTATCTTGCATATCCTGAGTCATTTGCCATAAAGGATCCATTTTATTTAGCAGTTTTTCCTGAAACATAACCATAGGCTTGAGTAATAGGGAAGATAATTTTGTAGGTTTCATATTTTGTGTAATGGAATAAAATAGTGCTTGGTAATACAGTAATATTTAGTTTAAAAGAGTCAGATTTTTACAAATTAGTCTACATTGATTTTACTATTTTGGATATTTGAGCAAAAGAAAAAAAGATTTTGAAAGGAATCTATAGATAATAGATAATAAAACCAATTTTCTGAGAAAGTAGTTTTTACATAACCTCACTATGTAAGGGTCCATCCTTCAGTAAAAGAAGCCCATGTTCCTAGTACTAGCCATCTGCGGTACTGCTGCCCCAATTCCACATATTTGGACATATATTTACTTCTTTATTTATTTTTCAGTAGTGGAGATTGAAGCCAATGTTTCCCGCAAAATAGGCAAGAATTTACCTGTGAGCTATGTCTCCAACCCTTAAACAAATGAAAGAAGAACTGTGTCTTACTAGGTTGCCCAGTTTGGCCTCAAATTTGGGATCCTCCTTACTCAGTTTGCTGAATAGCTAGGATTATTGGCATAGCCACCATGCTCTGTCATTTAGACAATGTTTCTAGTGGAAATGTCCTTCATGAGCAGGAAATGAGCATTATGATGATAGTGTCCAATTGATCAACATTTAAACAGCATGTTTACCTCTTATGATCTACACTGAAACATCACCACCTCTACCATCTGCATTCTCAACTGCCTGATTATCATGGTTCTTAATTTCTCTCTTTGATCTGGACCCTACAGGTTCTAAGTTACTTCAGGCCCATCACTCACCCTGTACTCTTCTGCCGCCCATGCCACTGGGCTGTAGCTGTGAACCGCATGTTCAGGTGAGTCAGAGCAGGGTGAACAGAGCAGGCTCTTGTCCACCTCACAGAAGAGCCACTTTTTCTCCCCATGTGTCCTGCAGAGCTGCTCCCCAGACCTGCTGTCAGAGGGAGGTGTGGCCTGTCTGGCAAGAGAAGCCAGCTTCTTGAGCATGATGTTGGTCCTGAAGTCTGAATTCTCTACTATTTCTTTGCACTCAGGGCAGCACATTGGCATTTGGGCTTCCTCCCAGCAGAGAAAGAGGCAGGGTCGGCAAKAGGTATGTCCACAGTCTATGGTGACAGGTTCTAAGAAGTAATTCATGCAAATGGAGCATGTGAGTTCACTCTGGAAGTCTTGAAAGACATGGGAATCCATGTTTCTGAAACCAAAAAATATAGAGGATGGAGTAAAAGTGGGATAAGGAGAGAGTGATATTTTTGTGTCTTGATGATGGTATAAAAACAATAAAAAGACTTTGGTCAGTCCTGATTGTTTACTTGAGTCATGCCTAATCTTTTGTTAACTTTGTGTAAGACAAACCTGGATATGTAGGCTGAGTTTCCTCTATGACACAAATGACAAAATGAGATGAACATGATCTTGATTTTTAAAAAAGCAACTTTCTTATTCATTTGGGCAAGTGTAATATTGGGACAAAGAAGTTTTAGGATGATTCTAGACTTACTTACATTAGCTGATTTTTCTAGATGCCCATCTAAGATCTCTCTCTCTCACTCTCTCTCTCTCTGTTTTTTTCTTTTTTTGTCTCTCTGACTCAATGATGGTAACAAACATAGAGACAGTTAATCTTTATGCCAAATGTCTATGATCTCTGCCTCTCTACCCATAGATGGACTTTTGTAATAGACAATTAAAATTAAGCATAATTCACTTGAAGATGACTTGACTTAATCACTGTTGGGTTCAACTTCCATCTTCTGAAACTACAAACAGTTGAATTTATGCTTTAAACCTTAATTGAATAATATATTTTAAAAAATACAATGTAGTGGGGTTTATCAATGCATGCCTCTTTTACCAGCTATTTGGAGGCTGAGGGAAGAGGATTGAAAATGTGAGGCAACCACAGGAATTTATTGAGATCCTGTCTCAGAATAAAAAATTAAAAACGGGGTTAAGGATGTAACTCAGTTGTAGAGCCATCCTGTGTTCAATCCTTATTACTAATAAAGAAATAAATTAAGTTTTTAAATTGAAAATTAGAATGTAATACTGGGGATGTAATCAGTAGTAGAGCACTTGCCCAGGACTTGTAAGATCCAGAGTTTTAGCCCCAGGACTGAAGTGGAAATAAAAAAAATAAAATAAAAAATAAGTTTTTATTACTTCTTATTAAAGAAAATAATATTTACCAGAATCAGTTCTTACCATCAGAGTGCCTTTATATAATGAGATGATGAGTATGCATGCTACAGTATTTATCAGCAACAATTAACCCATTGTTATTTATTACAAAATCAACTAGAGAGCCCAGTGCAGTGGCACATGCCTACTATTTCAGCTACTGGGAAGTCTGAGGCAAAAGGAAACTAAGTTCAAGGCCAGCCTAGGTACCTTATTGAGACCACATCAAAACAGGCTCTAAACAGGGGAACATTAGCCCTGGGTTCAATCTCCAGTATAAAAAAATAGTGAGAGAGAGAGAGAGAGAGAGAGAGAGAGAGAGAGAGAGCGAGCATAAATTAACAATGGTGCTTTCTTCTCCAGAGACTACCCTTCAGTTTAGAGATACAGTTTAGAGATCATTGATCATGGTGAAGCATGATCAATTCATCTAATTTCTACTATTTTTCTCTAGTGATCAAATTTCTCACTTGGAAACTTCTACAAGTCTCTTTCATCTACTGGACTACTTTTCAAATCTAGTTTRGAAATTGGAGATTTTAAAGGGATAGCAAATAGGACTTCCACTACAAGGGTTTAACAATCAAATCTGTATGTTAAAACTCTAAGCCAATCATGGTGGCACAGGCCTTTATCACAGTGGCTCTGGAGCCTGAGGCCAGAGCATGGAGAGTTCAAAGCCTGCCTCAGCAAAGGAGGCACTAAGCAATTCAATAGGACCCTATCTCTAAATAAAATACAAAATATGGCTGGTGATATGGCTCAATGGATGAGTGCCTCTGTATTCAATATCTGGTATCCACTAAGAAAAAAATCTAAATTGATGTGCAGAAAAACTATTACATGCATAAAATATACTGAATATTTTAAGCAATTTATGGATTCTAAAATTTATAAAACTGAAGAAATATTTCATTTCATACCTGCAAAATGAAATAAAACACAAGGTAATAGAATAAAAATTACTCAGATCACTTAGCAGAAACCAATATTTTACAAATAGTCTAATTATATATGTATATACACACTCACATACACACAGTATATATAAAACAGAAAAAGCAAAGTAGGTTTTTTACTTGGACGAAACCCAATTAAGTTGAAAAGTAAATTCAAACAATTCTTAGGAAAGAAAGTATACTTAAAAGCCTTTCTTCTAAATTTCCACTCACCAGAATCTGCTCTAAGAAAACTCACATCTGGAAGTAAGTAAAATTTTGTCTGTATCACTGTGTCAGTAACACTCAGGTTTCCAAAGCTCAGTAGCTGAGAATTCAGTCTGCTCCTTAGAGGTACCTTAGAGGAAAAACTATTCTCCAGAGAAACGCCTTCCTTAAATACGTGGAACTCACCTAAAACCACACCCACTATAGGTTACCTCTTCTAAAAGTGGTGAATCATACTATGAGATCACAGTGATTAGATTCATACAATAGAGTAAACAATAGAATCTAATCACAGTGATTAGATTCATACAATAGAGTAAACTTTGATGAGATTTGGCTTCAGACAGGAGCAAGTTCCCATGATTTGGGTTTGCAAAGAGACATTTTAACTGAAAAATTACTTTATTAAATAATATTTAGTTTTAAAACAACAACATCTCAATTAAAAAAATGATTTCTTCCTCAACTGATGTTTAAAGTTTGAAAGTTTGAATTCCTCTACTGATATTTAAAGTTTGAAATCTCTGATTTATTTTTATTTCTTGCTTTTTGGTTGCTTTCTCCTCCTCCTCCTCCTCCTCCTCCTCCTCCTCCTCCTCCTTCTTCTTCTTCTTCTTCTTCTTCTTCCTCTCTCTCTCTCTCTCTCTCTCTCTCTCTCTCTCTCTCTCTCTCTCTCATTTTGGTGTTCTTTTCCAATGAACCAACAGTGGAAAAAATAGTTTGGCATGGTGGTACATGAATTTGACCTCAGCTATGGAAATGTAGTTTAGTGGTAGAGCATCATCAAAAGTATTAAGGAAATAAGCCTCCTCAAACCTGCACTAAATTTTGGATGAATTTTTTCTAGTCAATTAAAAAACAATATTTAGTTAACCAAAAGCAGACCTGTGGCAGAATTAAGTTTAGGACTTTCTTTTGTTATAAACTGAGATGGAGCTTGGCAGTTCAATAGATGTAAACTGTGATGCTCATTCAGTTTGTGTTTCTTTGGCATCTACCAAAGATCTGTATTTATAAATCACAAGTGTCATATGTAATTTCATAAAGAGAAAAATCTGCCTTAAATCTGATTGATTGATATTTTTAATTGCAGATAAGAAAACAATAAGATACACACACACACACATCTATATTGTACTAAGAAAGATGAAGTAATAGAAATCAGCATGTTAGAAGAGTAAAGAATGATTCTATTTCAAATAAAGCATCAGAACTATTTTTCAGTATTTTTCCCGTTCTCAATTATTTTTCTTGTTCTCAATTGTTTGATTATTATTTTTTGTTTGTTTAGGGTATCGGAAACTGGTCTCAGTGGTGCTTTGCCACTGGGTTATATCGCCAGCCTGTTAAAGTTATTTATTTTGAGACCAGGTCTTACTAGGTTGCTTACAATCTCACAAAATTGCTGAGTCTGGCTTCAAACTTGCAATTCTCTGTCTCAGCCTATTGAGTTGATGGAATTAAAGGTTGTAGCACCAAGCCAATTTCTACTCCTAGATCTTAAGTAACACCCTGGTTTCAGGTTTTTAGAGATGGAAAATATTAATGAGAAGCTTAATGAAGTGCTTCTATACTTGATTTTCTGAATTAACCCCAAGATATAGTTACATGACTAGGTAGTCTTGAGCTCTTTATTCTCTCCAAGCTTAATTTTTTAGATTTTTTTTTTGCTTTTTTCAAGCTTAATTTCTTTATTAAAAAATTAATTTCTCCAAAAGTTTAGCACTTCAGAAAAGTGTTATGAATATTAAAAGAGCCAGGATTAATGCATTCCCTGGGGGCACAGTTAGCACTCTAGAAAATTTGAGCTGTCATTAAGACAGAAAAAAATTCTAAAAGACTTTAAAAAAATGCTCACCATCTCTAGCAGTCAGAGAAATGCAAATTAAAACCACCCTAAGATACCATCTCACTCCAGTAAGAATGGCAGCCATTTTGAAGTCAAACAACAACAAGTGCTGGCGAGGATGTGGGAAAAAGGGTACACTTGTACATTTCTGGTGGGAATGCAAATTGGTGCAGCCAATTTGGACAGCAGTATGGAGATTCCTCGGAAAGCTGGGAATGAAACCAGCATTTGACCCAGCTATTCCCCTTCTTGGACTATTCCCTAAAGACCTTAAAAGAGTGTATTATAGGGATACAGCTACATGGATGTTCATAGCAGCACAATTCACAATAGCTAGACTGTGGAACCAATCTTAATGCCCTTCAATAGATGAATGGATAAACAAATGTGGCATTTATACACAATGGAATATTACTGAGCACTAAAAAAATGACAAAATCATGGCATTTGCAGGGAAATGGATGGCATTAGAGCAGATTATGCTAAGTGAAGCTAGGCAATCCCTAAAAAACAAATGCCAAATGTCTTCTTTGATATAAGGAGAGCAACTAAGAACAGAGCAGGGAGGGAGAGCATGAGAAGAAGATTACCATTATCAGGGACTAGAGGTTGGAGGGAAAGGGAGAGAGAAGGGAAATTGCATGGAAATGGAAGGAGACCCTCATTGTTATACAAAATTACATATAAGAGGAAGAGAGGGGAAAGGGAAAAAAACAAGGGAGAGAAATGAATTACAGTAGATGGAGTAGAGAGAGAAGATAGGAGGGGAGGGGAGGGAAGGGGGGATAGCAGAAGATAGGAAGGACAGCAGAATACAACATACACTAGTATGGCAGTATGTAAAACATGGGTGTGTAACAGATGTGATTCTGCAATCTGTAGTATACTGGGTAAAAATGGGAGATCATAATCCACTTGAATGAAATGTATGAAATATGTTATGTCAAGAGCTTTGTAATGTTTTGAACAACTAATAAACAAATAAACAAACAAAC